AAAAAAACAACCCTGAGCATCCCCCATATTGCCACTGTCTCAATACAGTGCTTTATAGGCAAAACTGTGTGTTGAAGCCCTAACCTCCAGAGCATCTTAGTCTGTGAGTGTATTTGGTGATCAAATTTAAACAAGACCACTCCAGAGAGCTGTAATCTAATCTGACTCGTATACTTGTAAGGGGAAATGTGGATACACAAAAAATATATTATTTTTTCCCTTGTGAAAATATATAACTTTCACTAGATTCTCAGAAATGGTATGCTCTCCTCTAAAAGGTTAAAAATGATTGCCTAGAACAATGTTTCTTACCTCTTCACCAACTCCTGTTTTCATTTGGAGAGCTCATATAGTTAATATGGTGTCAGTCAATAAATTGTAGGAAATACTACTTTGTACCAGCATGACAGGCTTCACTATCCTGTCACCATTACTGTGAAGTGGAGAAGACACCCCATAAATGTGTGGTACCATTACCATGGCAGGAAAACCCAGTTTAGCCTTTATTCAATCTTTCGAAATTTTGAAAACGTATTTGTTTCCTAAATAGTAAAGAAGAATCCTTAAAAATTTATAGAGGCCAATCACCTATTTGTCAACCTAAATAAATCAAAGAATAAGGACATTTATTTGGGAGTAACAGAGCACTGCAATGGTGAACATGTGGCATTGTAAACTATGGGCATTTTTTTTTTTCTTTTTATTGAGGTTATTGGTACAATCTAGGTATACAATAGGATTACATTCATCATTGGGATTCTGTACCTTTACATAATAGGTCTTGGTTCTCATTTTTTCCCCTTGTCCCTGCCCTCCCTTCACCCCCTCTTCCCCTCCCCATTTACAAACACTTTATTTCCATTTTTTCAGTTTCTCATATTTTTTTCCTCTCCCTTATTACCTTTCCCCCACCCTTCCCACTTTCCCTACACCTTTAGCCCTTTACTTCCTATTTCACATTATTAATTATCTCATTAGGATCCTGTGTACTATTATAGTTTTTCACACCAAAGAAACTATTTGGTATTTCAGTTAAAGAAATCTCTGTATGAACATTAAAAATAGGGAATCCTAAAATAAAACTAAAAAGGAAAGTAAAAGAGAAAAGGCAATGATGTAACATTAAAATAATCCTTAATTCTGGAGATGAAAATGGTCCCTGAACATATTTAAATTGCTTCTCGCTCTTATGGTCTTATCTTATTCTTTTTTTCATTATTTAGAGAATACTTTATTAGTTTCTGTAATCAAACCAAACTACGGGCATTTTCAAAGAGGCTGAAGCAAGTGGAAGATTTCAAAAAGAGAAATGAGAATTGCATCAAATACTTTGAAACAATAATCCCTGGCCAGAAGGATTAAGAACAAGAATGCAGTCTGTCTGAGCTTGACCAGAGAGTTGCTGGGCAGATGTTCTAGGAGAAATACTTTTGCATAAGGTTGCAATGGCCTAGTCCAGGGTTACATTTGGCAGAATCTTTTGTGATGTAAATATTAGACAATCATACATAACACAGACTATCCATCTTAACTTTCCAGTTTTATTTACTTTATGGGTTAGAGTTCACATAAACAACTCCGTTTTGGGCCAGGTATTTAGCTCAGCGGTTTGGTGGCCTGCCTTGCAAGTGCAAGGACCGAAGTTCAATCCCCGGAACCAATAAAAAAAAAGAAAAACAAACAAACAAAAAACTCTGTTTTGATATTTCCAAAATAGGACACATATCCAAAGTATCACAATATGATGAATTCAAACACTCATGAAAATTACTTCTTCTACTGATTCTATACTTTTTGGCTACCTGTATAATGCAACTGTTACTATTACATAATGGTATATGGAAAGCGAATGAAAATAATATGGACTAAGACAGTGAATTTTTAATGACTGAAAGTTAACATGGACTATTTCGAACAAGGATACATACACTGTATAACTCAAATTGAAAAGCTTACATACCATAGTCACATTACTATCCAACTGTTGTGATTTCCAGTGACTTCTATGTTTGTTCACATTCTAAAGGAAGAGAAGTTAGTGATCTCCAGATGAGTAATGAAAGAAAAAAAAATCAGCTTCTGCATAAAATTTTAACTATACTAAAACTTGGACCATATGTGACAAAAAGTAATATGTCTAATAATTACAATGATAATAGGGCAATAATTAATAAATACTGTTAGTTTAGAATTATATCAGAAAAGAATGTAAAAGGTGATTTAATTTGATTAAATGTGATGTTTACCTGTCGAACAGCTGAAAACTGGGCCACTTGTTGCTGTTGCCACTGAAGTGTTGGGGAATAACCTTCAGGGGCAGGTTGGCATCCTGAAAGCTAGAAATCAATTCATAAATGTTAGGATCAATGTTTAGTGTTATAACTGGAATCTCATGCCTCTGCAAAGAAAAACTAAGATGAAGAGTAACTGGTAAGTGAAAAACTGACTGTTTAAGAAAAAAGGTATTCTTATAGGTGCAAAAAGTAGGCATTTCTTTTTATTATGTCCCAATTAAAAATGGTAGGAAAAGATAACCACTTCAGTAAGAGTATTCTCAGATGTCTTACAGCTGGAATTTTTAAGAAATCTGAATAACATAAATCTTGAAGAAATAATCTAGTTCTATCTTTCTAGAATTATAAAAGAGAAACAAATAAGAGAAGTATACCCCAGATAAAGAATTTTGGTATGGGTAAAATATGGTCAAATAATTTAAAGACACTTGATTTGAAACGGTCTACCTCTGTTTTCTAAAACAGCACATTAGGTGGAGGGAGGGTAATCTTTTAGTGAAGGCAATCACTATGTACTGCAAATATGTGCTATTAAAGTTAGAAAAAAGAAAACAGCACATAGTCCACAACCGATCATGTACAAACTTATAATAAAACCTCAAACATTAGGTATATACCTAATATGTAAGACATCACATTCTTGAAAGTAGAAGGGAGACTGTAAGACGATGGAATTGGGAGAGGGGAGAAAGGGGAAGAAAGATGGAAAGAGGGATAATCAGAGGATATTACATACAATATACATATATATGCAAATAGGCTAAAATTAAACCCATCTGTCTATATAACTAATATGAGCTAATTAAAAAATGGCACAAAAATTTTTAGATATCATGGCCTATCAATTAAATGTCTGGGCTGTGCATGGTGGCACATACCTGTAATTCCAGCACTTGGAAAGCTGAGGCAGGAGGATCACTATGAATTCTAGGCCAGCCTGAGCTACACAGTGAGTTCAAGGCCAGCCTGAATTACAGAGTGAGATCCTGTCTCAAAATACCAAAAAAAGAAGAAAAAAATCTGAAGAGAAATCATACAAAATAATTATAAAATTTAAAAATTTCCTGATTATAAATATCAGATAATGGAATTACTTAGACATAAAAAGAAAATAATTAGTGACATTTTTTAAATGTCATTTTCCTTTGACCTTAAATACGACCTCCTCAGAGGGATCTCCTATGACAACGCTATCTAAAATATTTTTTTTTCTTTTTCCCCTTGTAGAGGGCAAATTCTACAAAGAAAATGACCTTTTCTACCTTATCCTCTGTGGTATTCTTTTTTTTTTTTTGGTGTTGGGGATCGAACTCAGGCCCTTGCACTTGCAAGGCAGGTGGCAGAACCACTGAGCTAAATCCCTGGCCCCCTTCTTCTGTGGTATTCTTAGTGCCGGGTACGAGCCAGTTGCTTAAGAAAAGGTGTACTGGATAAATAAATGAATTAAAATGTCCACACTGAGCAAGTAGCCAAAAAGGTGTAAGACATTTATGTTTCCAAGGAAAATTCAGAATGTGCAAACTGCACTTAAATACTAGTCCAGTAATAAAACAAAAAGAATGCCCCCCAAAGAAGGAAGCTTAAGTAGCCAATTAAAAAGCTCCTTTAGATGTATGATATAGTCATACATATATATAAATGAATTAAAATGTCCACACTGAGCAAGTAGCCAAAAAGGTGTAAGACATTTATGTTTCCAAGGAAAATTCAGAATGTGCAAACTGCACTTAAATACTAGTCCAGTAATAAAACAAAAAGAATGCCCCCCAAAGAAGGAAGCTTAAGTAGCCAATTAAAAAGCTCCTTTAGATGTATGATATAGTCATACATATATATATATATATAAGCCTCTGAAGGCAGTACATGTCAACTATCTTTCCGAAGCAAAACAAACAAACCAGAAAAAACCACAAGCAAATGTACAAAAGAATGTTTATCTAGCTTTGGAGGGAGTAAGTAACCAAATCTTACCTACACAATAATCAATATTATTGGGGACAACAGGAAGATGCTATTGGGTACTTCGTTTTTAATTTATGTGCATGTGGGTGGGAAATCCCCAGATGGTTAATAAAACTCACAGAAACATTCACACTTTGCTTCCTTTTCAACTTCTTTGGGTCAATTTGAGCTACCACAACATCTGGACACCGTGCTGCTTCGATCCTACAAGTAATAAATGCAAGAAACTTAATTACAGTTGTGCTTTACTCGTGTGTACAAAGGCAAGGGATTCAACTCATTTTTCAAATAAGAAACATAATTCAGATTTCAAATTGAGCTACTAATCATTGAATGCCTAAAATGATTTCGATTGAAAGCAAGGAAAGCAGCTAAGAGCACACATCTCGATAGGTTCTGATGTATGCAATCAAATTCTAAAGAAACACGCCCTCGTCAGGATATCATTCGCGGCGGATCCAGAGCAGATGCGACCTTACGAGAGGCTGGGACGGACACCGAGGCGGGGCTTTATCTCCCGTAGGGCTTCAGCCTGGCACCAGGAGCAGTGCCTAGGGGCAGAGTGGACGAAAAGCCCACCCACACGAGGCCAAATCACTCACTGGACCCGCCTCAGATATTCCTGAGGCGTCCTCGGCGGTACCGAGGGATCGAAACCTTCGGTCACGTCGCAAGGCTCCACCGGCAACAGCCGGGGCATCAGCTCTTCCACTGCAGACTCCGTGGGTACCCACGCCATAGTCTCCTATCCCGCCAGTACCGAAGAACGCATGCGTGGAGGATAGGTCATGGCGCAGGCGCAGAAGTAAGCGCCTGTGGCGCGGAGTTGAGGTAGCAGCCAGGTTGAGGGGGCGTAACTGCGCATGAGCAAACAAACCTGCTGCTCGCGCCAAAATTAAGGCTTCCGTGGTGCAATGCAGACTGTGAGTTGAATTTCTACCTGAAGTGGCTCATGTATCCTCTCTTCTAAGGCTTTGGAACTCTTTAGACTGCAGGTTAGCTTATGCAACCCTAGTATTTTTTTTTTTCTTTTAGACAATGAACCCTACCTATAGCTCTCTTATGGAACACAATTCTTCAGCCGCTGGTAAAAACGTTACTTTTAATTCTAACAATGACTCGGTGGAAAGGGTAGTATTTTCTGGTTTGGAGGGGAAGAAATTGACAAGAGTGGTTGAGTACTGAACCTGACTGCCAGAGGGAAGACAAGCTCAACCTAGGTTTATCTAATGCCAAATGAATAAGACAATAATTTTCCGCTAAAATTTGTCGTGCCTGGCCCCTTTTTTCTTGGTTTTCTCTCACTGTGTAGTCCAGGCTGCCCTTAAGCTTTTTATGCAGCCTAGGAGAGCCTTAAACTCACAATCCTCTTGCCTTAGCCTCCTAAAAGTTGCGATTACAGGTATGTGCCACCATACCCACCTCTTAAGTTGGCCACTTCTAAGGTCACTTTATTTAAAGCGAATACTAATCCTATGGTAGTCATTTTTTCTAGTTTAAAGAAAAATGTTTATATAAAAATAGTTCAAATTATAAAGCCAGTACTGGCACCCACAAAATATTGTGATGAAATTTCCTCTTTTAATGACCTACCTGTTCAACAAACATTAGGGCTTACTGAACAGAAAAGAAGGGACACGAACTCAACAGGCCAGACAGGTTTATTGCTAGACATAAGGGACTTCTGTGAACAGAACATACCTGTCTCACAGGCTAAGAGGCTTTTTTACAGTGTTTTCCGGCAGGCTTCTGAGGGAGTGGGTTGGAGAAAGTGCGCTTTTGACTTGCTGGTGTAGCCTGTGTCCTCTCTGACCTAAGCAAAATGAAACCTGTGTTTCTCTAAGGTGGGGGTGGAGTGAGATCATTGGAGTTGGCAGTGTCTATCAGGGATAATGCTGTAGTAACTCTTGCTTTAACCTTTACAAATATTCATATTCAAAGGAATGTCTTGGAAAAGACATTCAGCATCATGATTCCATTTAGCAATCAACAACATGGGTGCAGAAAAGAGTCTACATCAAAACCCTTGGTTGAAATGCTTTACACTTTCCACAGAACAGAAACTAAAATAACCCGTTATACTAGTAGTAACAGTCCATGCATTTTTTTGCCCAGACACCTGAGTAGCAGTGTGGTCCTGCACCACTGTTTTTGACTGAGTTCCTAAGTCGGTTGTACCTGTAGCTTATGTGTCACTTCTCTGGCTCTGCTCTCCCACTGAGCTCTGTATGCTGACAGTGTTAAAACCTTCTACCACCACCATTGCAACTGCTGCTGCTGCTGTTGCTGGAAGTACCAGAGCCACCTTGATCTCATGGTCTGGGAAATTGCTGGACTCCACCACCATAGGTCCTGGAGCTTCTGCCTGCAAAGTTTCTTCCCTTAACGGGTCCAAAATTGGAAGGTTGATTGTTGTAACTGCCAAATGCTTTGTAGCTTCCACCAACTTGAAAATCAGTTCCATCATTACCAAATCCACTGTAGTCATCCCCACCACCACCGTGTCTGCCAGCGCCGTGGCTGCCACCAAAGCCACCTGGACCACTGAAGTTTCCTTTACGACCAAAATTGTCATAGCCACCAAAACCACCTTCATGACCACCATCAAGATTTCCAGAAGCACTTCAACCTCTTTGGCTAGATGAAGCACTAGGCAGCTCATGCCTGCACAGGGCTTTCCTCACTTCATAGTATGGGATTTCTGAATGACAGTCTTATCCACAGAATCATGGTCATCAAAGGTTGCAAAAGCAAAGCCTCTCTTCTTTCCATGGCCTCCATCAGTCATGATTTCAGTCACTTCAGTTTTCCATACTGTTCAAAATAATGTCATAGATGATGTTCTTCAGTATCTTCTTTAATGTCACAACAAAGATCCTCACAGTTAGGTGGGCACCTGGTCTTTCAGACTCTTCTGCTGAGACAGCTGTTTCCACAACTCTTCATCTACCTTGTGTGGCTTCGCATTCACGGCTGCATCCACCTTCTCCAAGGTGGCATCAGTGACACAGCCAAAGCCCCTGGAGCGCTCGGTGTTTGGCTCTCTCATGGCCACTCAGTCTATGAGTGTCCCCACTGCTCAAAGTGTCTTCTCAGACTCATCAGTGTTATCAAAGTTCAGCCCTCTGATGAAGCACTTGCATAACTGCTAGGGCTCCTTAGGAGATGTTGACTTGAATGTGATGGCAGTCATCAGCTGGAGACTGGATAAAGTAGATGTTTTTCTATAAAATGGAGTACTACTCAGCTATAAAGAATGAGAAACTAAAGTCATTTATAGCTAAATTGATGCATATGGAGGCCATACTCTTAAGTGAGCTAAATAGGACACATGTAAATACTGAGAGGTCTCTCTGGTGTGAAAAACTACAAGTGTCATACGTTCAAATTGTATAATTGATAGTGTAAAATAGGTAGGAAAGGGCTAGTAGTAAGGGAAGGTGGAAGGGTAGGGGAAAGGAAAGAAAGGAAAACATATGAGAAAAGGCAAAAATAGAAATAAAGTCTTTGTAAATAGGGAAGGATGGAGGGGGTGAAGGGAGGGCAGGGGAATGCTGGGGGAGAACCAAGATATATCCTATAAAGGTACAAGATTCCAGTGATGAATGTAACTATACTGTATACCTAAAAATTACCAATAAGCTAAAAAGATGAGATCCCAGTTGTTGATTTTTTGCCATATTCTCTGTGTGATCGGGGTTTTGTTCATAAAGTGTTTGCCTACACCAATGTAGTCAAATGTTCTACCTAGTCTATCTTTCAGCAGATTTAGTGTTTTCATTTTAATACTTAGATCTTTGATCTATTTCAATTTTAGTTGATTGCATGGTAAGAGATATGGGTCGAGTTTCAGTCATCTGCATGTAGGAAGCCAGTTTTTCCATCACTATTTATTATATGTGCTGCCTAAGCAAACACACCATCACTATTTATTAAAGAGACTACGTTTCTTCCAGGGAAGATGTCTGGCTCCTTTACCAAAGCTAAGGTGGCTGAGTTTATGTTTGGAGTGGTTTCTCCATCTCCTAATCTATTCCATTGATCCTTAGGTCTGTTTTTTTGTTTGTTTGTTTTTTTGCCAATACCATGCTGTTTTTATCAAAGTAGATTTGTAGTAAAGTTTCAAGTCAGGGATTGTGATGCCGCCTGCCTTTCTTTTGCTGCCCCAGTATTGCTCTGGATATTCTAGGTCTGTTCTGGTTTTAAATTAATTTTAGGATTGTTTTTCTGTAATTCTTCTTCTGCCTTTTTTTTTTTTTGTACCAGGGCTTGAACTCAGAACCTTATCCTTGCAAGGCAGGTGGCAGCAGCAATGAGCTGAATCCCTGGCCCTGTTTTATCTAATTCTGTGAGATATGCTATAGATATTTTAATCAGCATTACATTAAATGTGTATAACTGTTTTGGAAATATGTCCATTTTCACTAAACTTGTTTATTCCACCCGGGAACAAAGGGTGTTTTTACTTTTTTTTTGGTACCAGGGATCAAATTCAGGACCCTTTAAGGCAGGCACAGCACCACTGAGCTAAATCCCTGGCCCTTCCATTTTCTGCTAATACTCTTAGGTCTCCTTTTTCAGAGTACTGTTGTTTTCCATGTAAAGTTTTGCTGTTGTTGTTGTTGTTTAACTGCCTTTGTTAGATTGATTCCTAATTATTTCATTCTTTTTTTGGGGATGCTATTGTGAAAGCTGTTGTTTCCCTAATTTCTCTCTCAGTGAGTTTGTTATTTGTGTAACAGTATGGTATGGAATGCTGGTGTTCTGGTAATGAATTTCTTCAAGTGTTCTGTGTCATGGAAGTATCTTATTTCTCCATCAGATTTTTTTGTACTGGGGATCAGATTTGGCTCCTTGCATTTGCGAGGCAGGAGGTGGCACCACTGAGCTAAGTCCCCAGCCCTCTCCATCAATTTTGACGGTTTTGTTAGGTTTATCAGTCTGGGTTGGAGGATGTTTTCCCTTAGGGCTTGAAATACTTCCCTCCAAACTCTCTTTCATTTGAGGTTTTTTATTTAGAAGTCCGCTGTGGTCCTGAAGGATTTTCCTTTATAGTTGACTTATTTTTTTCTCTAATAGCTTTTAATGTTTTGTTTTGTGTTGAATTTCTGGAAACTTGTCGATTATATGCCTTGGTGTAGTTTTTTTTTTTTTTAATCAAATAATTGGAGTTCTATATGCCTCACTTCTCTGTATGTCAAATTCTTTTTCCCTGCTTGGGAAATTTTCTGCCATTACTTCTGTGAACAGGCTTTTTTTGTCCTCTGTACTACCTCCTGTTTTTTTTGTTGACTCTGCTCAACATGTTTTTTTCCATCATCTAGCAGCTGTTTGGATTGATTTTTTTGTGGTCCTTTGCTATTTTTAAGGAGTCTTTCTTTTTCATGATCGCTGGCTGCAAACCTGTCTTCTAGATATGATAGTCCCTCTTCACATTTGTTGATTCTGTTGCATTTCCTTTTGATAGAATTTTTAAGCTTCTGAATATCTGTTTTTTTGTTTGTTTTTTGAGACAGTGTCTCACTATGTAGTTGAGACTGACCTGGAACTCACTGTGTAGCCCAGGCTGGTCTTGATCTCACAGTGGTCCTTCTGCCTCAGCCTCCCAAGTGCTGGGATTACAGGCATGCACCACCATACCCAGCTTCCTGCATATCTGTTTGAATCTGTTTCATGGGTTCCATTTCTTTCCAATGTTGGGCATTCATGTTTCTAATCATTTTTTCTAAGCTCCTCTATTTTTAAAAATCTATATCTACTCTATATTTACTAACCATGTCCTTTATTAAGGTCAT